CAGGGTTTTCAAAATGAAAAAAAGTATCAGGAGGAAATTTTAAAATAGCCGGAGCACCACTGCGCCGCGACAGCGGCGCCGGGCGGCAAAGCCGCCCGTGGGGAGGGTGCGGGAGGGGGTTTCCCCCTCCTGCAGGGGGGGTATGGGGGGCCTCCCCCAGAAAATTTTGAAAATCTGCATGCTCTGAGGTGCATTCTGGTGCATTTTCAGGACCAAAAAGTTATTTTTTAGGTCGTTGTACACTTTATTATAACCTAGAGTTTTTCTTAAATCTGACTCATTATCAAGAGTTTCTTGAAAATTATGTTTACTCATACATATTACAATGCTTTCCTTCCAGTCCCATGTTACATATTACAATTTACATCTAAATAAAAATTGACCTCTTTCCCTTGTCAGTACTTCATTGACCTGTTATAACATGAATCAACTTTTGAAATAATTATTTTTGCAGTCAGAGTTTTCCTACAGATTGAAAATACAGATGAACAGTTTCGTTATGGCATCCAAGCACTCAGGCTCGATTCTTTTTAGTTAAAAGTCACTGTCACTGAAATCACTTTCCCCCATTGCACTGTCCCTGTCACTGTCGTCACAACTTGGATCATCTTGAAAATTTGCTAAGCCAAGTTTAATGAGGGCCTGCTCTTCCTCTTGCAACGCTTGTTGTTCTTCTTGACTCTGACGATCTTCAACTTGTGGGTCCGTCTGTGTTGATACACTTGTTAATTCTGGTGGTGCAGGTTCTTTGCCCTTGCTTTCTCTTGAGGCTGACTTCCCTTTGGCCAACTTGTAGCGTTTTCCAGAGAGCCATTTCTCAGTGGTCTTCTTCACCAGGGTGTCACATTCTGAAGAATTTGCCTCTGGACCATTCATAGAGATATTAACAAGGGCCTCCAGCATCTCATTGGTCAGCCTGCTCCTGAGCCTTGACTTTATAAGCTTAACTCGACTGACTCCCCTTTCAGGCCATGCGTTGCTTATGGGCATCGTGAGAGCTATTTCTACAATGTGCATGAGGAGAGGGAGAAGAGAAAGGAAAGAAGATCTTTGTTTCATTAGCTGGGACATGCACCACTCTGCTGGCATGGTAGTCTTGCCTTCTTTTACATCAGCTGGAATGGCCATCTCCTTCATGTGGTACTTTAATATATTCCACTCTGCCAAAAGTCGGTCTTGTTGGTCGGGGAAGTAGTGCTTGGCAAGAACTTGGATAGAATCTACTCCGTAAGAGGGAAGTTCTGAAGAGCTTGCAGGAATAAGAGTTGGATCAAAGATGGAGAGCGCTCCCAGAAGAGGGAGGGTGTTCTGAAACCTCAGGTCGATGTTTTCCTTCAAAGCAGAGACATACTTGAGCAACAAATTTCGCATGGATGCAAGCTGATGCTCAGAAGGGGAAAACTGCAGCAGCACCATCTTTCCTTCCTTGATATCTTGGCAAAATTGCTTGATGGGGACTTCTTTGGTTGCCACTTCATCCAGCGCTGCCTTAGCACGAACAATTTCTGGTTTAAGGTGACTGAAATTGACAGTAGAATGCTGAAACGATTTTGACAGGTTGTCAAGAACAGGAAGCACATGCTTTAAAACATACAAGCAAGCCAGGAAGCGGACGTTGTTCATTTGAACTAACAGGCCCTGGCATGTGGGGTCCTCATCTTTCATCCTGATAAGGAACTGGATGATGGCAGAGAAGCTCTCCCAAGCGGATTGAACGGCAGCGTTAAATGACAGCCATCGTGTCTGACAGGCCTTCTTCAGCTTCTTAGCTATCTTCTTCTGCGAATTCTTGTTTGAGAGAGTTATTTCACTCACCTCAAGTTGAACTTTCAGGAAAATGGCTGTCTTCTTGTTCGAGTTGTCAAGGAGTCGCCAAAGGGTGTTTAGTGTGTTCTGCATCTTCTTTATTGTGGCAAGATCGTTTAAAGTGTCGGTACACGCCAGCGCTAGTTTGTGACAAACACAGTGGACAGATATTAACGACTGGATTCTTTCATCTGCTTTCAGCCTGGTAGCTACACCTGACCTTTCTCCCACCATGACACTTGCTCCATCTGACACAAAGCTTTTAAACCAGTCAAAATTGAGACTGTGTTTCTCAATGACTTCCAGAAGGATGCTTGTGATGGTTAAAGAATCTGCTGCGTCAGAGCTGGCGAGAACATTTTCCAAACACAAAAATTTCACCTCAACCTTTTCGCTACCCCTGTTATAATACTGGATGAAACCAATCATTTGCTCCAAATTTGCAATGTCAGTCATGTCATCAACCATCACCCCAAATGGCCCAGTTACAGCAGAAATGACTTCATTTTGAATCATTTCACCAAGAAGAAGCAACATGTTGCGAAAGGAACCTACTGATGTGTGATTAAAGCCACTCATATCACACCCCAGCTTCGCAACCAACTTTAACAGACTCTTAACCTTGACATTTGCTATATCCTCCTTTGCCAACCAGTAAAGGCAATAGAAAACTCTTTCATACACATCAACCTGAACTTCAGCATTATGATCGAGCTCTTTCTGGAAAACTGACAACCTGTTCATAAGAATGGCAGTGATTGCATCTTTGTGTCTCTTTGTTGCAATGTGCTCCTCGAGGCAATCTTTCTTTAACCTTGTGCTTGGTTCTGCAGAAAAAAATTCCTTTTTGTTTTGGGGATCCTTGGAATCAAACTTCTTGCAGATCAGACAGTATTGACCTTCTCCTTCGATGTAAACGAGCCACCACATCTGTACTTTAGGGCTATAGGCCAAATCCTTATTAAAGATAAGGCTGTGATTAAACATCTGCTTCTTTTTGGTTGTTTTGATGCGTGCTCTTTCTTCTTGAGACACACCCAAGCAGTCACGCTTTTTGCAGAGAATGTAGTGATGAATTTTCTTCGTCTGCTGTTCTTCAGTGAAACTGTTCGTGATATCACTCTCTGACTGTATACACACAGTATCTGTGGGAGGAAAATACATGTAAGATTCTTTACCTTTTTTCTTCAGTGTGTGATGCAAACCACCAACTAGAGAAGGCTACTCTCAAAAAAAGAAAGAAATATCACGAATTGTAATAAAAAGTTCGTTTACCTTCAGCGTGGTTGGTAGGGGCTGCGGTCACAGAGATTTCTTGGCAGTCGCGTAACACATTGACGGGCAAACTTTCGGCATCTTCGAAGTTTAAGGACGTACTAGGCGTTGCAGAAGACCCTTCCGTGTCTGGTGCATCTAACGAAAGCAGTGAGAATATGTATCGATGTTGACAATGTGTACCATTTATCCCCCATGACCAACGCGTTAAATAAACCAAGCATAGTTATTTCGCGCTCACGTATATGACCTCACGTATACAAAATTTGAGTTAAAGGCGGAGATTTAATTTTATTTTTTAGCGCGACATACAAGCTCCATAAATAATGCATTGTTAGCCAAAATTTCAATCGATTAGATAAATCAATTTTATTCCGCGGGCACAACTGTTTTAACTGTTTTTTTTAGTTATCAGAAGAACAATGCTTTGCTAAACAATCAATTTCAGTAAAACTCATATATGTTAAGCGAGCCGTAACATGTGGCGCGACTTATGTCGCGACTAGTCTGGCTGTGTCGGCTTCGTATAAAATTAATTTTCCATAAAGAACTGTAAAACATTCAGTTTCACCCGCTTTACTGATTATGAAGACTTGAAATGAAACTTTAAGTCTCACAAAAATCTTAAAAATGCCTGGCTTATATAAAAAGTTAAATGTGACCAAATTTGTGTCGGCATACAATTTATTTAATCGCTAGAGTCTGCCAGTTCATTCTCGAAACGGCGCCTCACGAAACCAAGCGTTGAATAAATAAAAGCATCCCTTATAAATCGCCTTGTTGACAATAAATAATTCAACCTAAGC